AATGTTTAATTTTTAATGGAATCGATATTTTCTAAAACCTTTAAAGCTTTTTTCAAAATGCTGAAATTTTTTCAAAAATATTTTTTAAATGTTTCCCCATATATTTTACAATACTTCCTCTAAAACTGTATTACAACAACCCTTTAAGTCTTTTTTCTATATATCAATGCTTGTACCGAAAACTAATAAAACTTTTCCACTTTTTCGAATGTCTCTTTCTTTTTCCATTATACATTTTTTTTTTACTTCGAAACTCGATAACCTCAATATGCCTATCACTTTCACTTTTCATCGTCATCTTTAATTTCAATAAAAAATTGGCTAAACTTAAAAAATATAAAATTGCATTGAAACACATCTCTCTTCGCTGCTCTTCAACACGCAAACTATGAAAAACTATGAAATGTATTCTTATTACTTAAATTAAAAATCTATACCTATAAATTATTAAAAATCTCGTATGTGTATGATATAAAAACAACAACTCCTAAACGTCAAACATCGCAAACAAAACTTCAGTTCTATCAGGTGAAGAAATTCAACAATTCCTTACGAGTTCTTTGTTCCGAAATTTGTACATATGTGTGAGAGCGAGCTTTCGAACTGCGAGGGTTGAGAAAATGTATACCGAATGAGAAAAATTGTTTTTTGCTCTTCAAGCGAACAATTTTTAATTTAGTTACTTTTTTTGCATATAAAATATAAATACGTACAAAACACCTATAGTGTAAATTAAAGAAATATTTTTTACATGCTTCTCAATTGTTCTGTTTTTTTTTTTTTTTTTTTTTTTTTTTTTTTTTTTTTTTTTTTTTTTTTTTTTTTTTTTTTTTGTTTTTGTAAATTATGTATGTTATCAATAAAATAAAACCATAAGTAGATTTTGTTTTAGTTAGATATTTTTCGAAAGTTTTTGACTCGTTTTTAGACTTTTTTTTAATATTTAATCTGCTTTCCTGCAAATATTAATAACAATTATTTATTAAAAAAATAATAGCTGTCTCTTATACACATCTAGATGTGTATAAGAGACAGCTTCAAAAATGTTTCAAAATTTTTTTTTTAATATTTTCGATAACTTTTAAAATAAATTTCTCCTTGAAAATATCTAAAAAAAAAAACGAATTTTTTTTGAAAAATGATCGAAAATTTTTGAGAACCTTCTTAAGTAAATTTCCGAAGATGCTCCATAAATCCTAACTTTTTGCTTAAAAGAAATTATGAAAATGTTTGAGAAATGTTACGTAAATTTTACAATATTAATATAAACCTATTTCGAAATTTCTTTTTAAAAATTGAAAGACGCTTCGAAAATATTTAAAAAAAAATTTCAAAAAAATATCGAAAACTTGTCCAAAATTATTCTAAAAACATTTCTAATTTTTTTTTAAATATCCAAAAAATTACGATTATGTTTCAAAATTGTTTTAAAAATACTATGAAAAATTTTCGAAAACTTAAAAAAAATTATT